AAAAATTTCTTTTGTCACTTAATACTGAAATATTTTGTTGTTACTATAATACTTTGTGAACCAGTGATTTGTAATATAAGATGACACTCCGAGAACCCTATTTCATGTTTATATTTTTTACTTCTAATAGATATTATGTGTCTCAACACTCACACATAATTGTTATAACCATCTAATTATATTATTATATCCAAAGAAGATAAATTAATAAATTAAGGTAAAAGAAATTATAATTAAATAAATAAAATATAACATAATAAAGAAGAAAATAACTAAAATAAGTAACTTTTTTAAATACTATAGCCTTAAATACTACCCTGCGCTTGGCACTATGTAGCTTATTAGCTTGAAGATATACAGTATGTCATAGATTTTCCATATTTTCAGGAAACCAAGGTTATCTACAACTATGTATATAGATTCAATAAGTCACTTAGTACAAATATAAATATATATATAACTAATACTAATAATGTTTTTGTTTTTTATAATATATAATATCATATAATTATATAATGATACTTGGCTTTCAAATTGGTTATTTATAATCTCTTTTCAATCGATCAGTATTTACTGCTCTTTTGAATACTTTGTCTTCTATATTCCTTAATTTGTATGCTTCTGATATAATAATATTGGAAATATAATATAGTTTTGTCCATTTTTCTCTAAATTTATCACTATGTACCTTTGCTTTTATTGATTCATATAAAAAATCTTTGTCTTTTATATTGAATTTTTGAACTTTGATTCCCTGATCATGATATTGTTTTTGTTTATTTATCCTATGCTTTTTCAATATTTTGTTATACATTAAGCCTTAGATTAAAATGATCACTAGTAATAAATTTGATATGTCACTGTAGTTATTAATCCAATATAGCATTAGATTCCTATTTGCTATTCTGAGGATTAATAGGTAAGCTTTCTTTATAACCATAAAGTAGCTTGAATAGTGAATATTTAGTAGTATAATTTTGAATAGAGTGGTGGACAAATAGTGCTGGGTTCAGAAAAGTATTCCATATATTACTATAATCACTTACATACTATATTTAGTTAAAGTGTAGAAGTATTTTAAATTTGCATTGTTCACTAATACAATTTGCTTTGAATCCTTCATCAAATTTATTGATTCAAGTAAGAGGATTCTGTTTCCTTCATTTGAAGATTGGTATGTTCACTAGTTTTATTTCTTTTTTATTGTTATTCCTTGATACATTCATTTTAGCAATTGATTCAGAGAGTTGTCACAGTACATTAATGAAATTTTGATCATTATTTTATCCATAATTATAGATTGATTGATTTTGTCACTCCTTTTTTTGTTTATTTCTTTGCCTTTAACCTAGTCTATTATTGCATAATAGTGGTTACTACTCATCTTTCCTATTGTCCTAATGATTGTCATTGCATTTTTCCTGTTCATTACTTTCCTTATTATTATTTTGACCTTATAGGGGATATCTATTTCAAGATTGATTCAAGTTATAAGGATGACTTGCTTGATTCCAAGGGTCCTGAAAAATATTATTTATTGTCAAATTATAAGGTAATAGAGAAGAATGAATTGTACCATATTGGTTATAATTAGAAGTATCCAAAGAGTAGATTGGAGAAGAGGATGATGAAATTTAAGAGAGTATTCAGAATAAGTAGTTACAAAATCTGATGGTAGTTTTGGAATCCAGTTATCAAGATTGTTATTTATCCAATTGTCTTTTCAAGAAAAAATTAATTTTATCTCAATATCTTTTTTGGAGAGCAAGATCTTATCAAATGTCTTTTTTAGAGAGCAGGGTTCTGTTGTTGTTATCAAAATGGTATTAAATTTATATTTGATAAATTTATTCAAGTGGAATTGCTTTTAAAATGACAATTTTCAAAGAAAGAATTAAAGAAGTGATTTATAATAATTAAAGAAGTATTCAAAAATAAATTCATCAAGAATCCTTTAAACAGAGTTACATAGTATTTCATAAGAAATATGGTTCACTCAAAATCTAAGTTTATTAATAAATTAAGAAAACTAGGACAATTCCTTTAGTTCTAAAATCAAAAGAAAATATCTAATCTTCCAAAAGAAAAGTGAAGTTATTCCTAAACTTTCAAAGTCAAATAAAGTTATATACAAATTTATTCTACTTTTGAGCAAATTATGATTGCTTATATACTTATAAAAATGAGTCACTTAGGCCTCTTGGGCTGCCTGATCTACAATAAATTATATTATGCACTATATTTGATAAAGTAATCTATACTAATTAAGTACTAATAAGAATATTAAAGAATATCAAAGAAATAATTATAAATAAATAGATAAAAATGAAAATAGAATAAAGATCATGACTAAAAATAACTATTCAATAGTATTAAAGACTCTTTTTATCATATCATATTAGAATTATACAAAACAAAACTAACACAAGTTAATATATCTTTGTTATATAGGATTATTAGAAGCATAGTGTGATTACTACTTATAACATCTTTCATATTTTAATTATCAAATTGAAGTAGTAAATAACTTGTTAGACTATAAGAGATTTAAATATAGTCCATTTTATTACTACTTGTTAGGTTTCTTCTTGTTAAAGTTTTTTCTTTGCCTTTCTATATAACTTGCATATCTATAAAGTTCTGTTTATCAAGGAAATTGAATAGTGGGATTTCAGGCTACCATGATAATCTGAAGCTTGCTTTTGAAAAGAACTTTCTATCTTCTAATGAGTTGTAGATCACATTAAAATCTCTCATTACTATTGTGTGAAAATCTTGTCCATGTATTCTTTTGATAAAGCTAGCTAATTATTTTATTTTGTATTATTTTACATCTTAGTTTGTTTAAAGGAATATAGATCTGTATAATACAGATTTTTTTTTTTCATAAGCATGTTGATAGCAATAATATATCCTTCTTTTTTTATTGATACAATCTTTTTTTTCAAATCTCTTCTGATTAAGAGATTGACTTTGTCCCAAATGATATTTCTTTATTAATACTATGAAAATATTATAATTTTTTTGATTGTTGAATACCTATTGTAAAATAAAGGACATTTTCATTACTCGATTGACGTCACGCAAATATGTTTCCTGGACTAAAAGTAGGAGTTTGGTTCTTCATGGTATTTTAAAAAAGAATTGAGTCGAATGCGAGAAGTGATGTTAGGTAGGTGTTACATCTTCTACGCAAGAAATTAAGTTACGTTTATTATTGATAAAGAACTCATCCTATTAATGAGTGAGTCATATTGATCTGAAGTGTGATTGGTTTGTGTATTTAACCACGATGGCGAAATAATTTAACAAACTCGAAAGTTTTCTTCATAAAGCGTCAATTACCCTCTGTGCTTGCATGATTTATTTCAATATTAAAAGACTTCGTTCATTCATATTTATTAAATTGCCCATGATGAAAGAATGTCGCGCTTAAAAAAGAAGGCGTATCTTCATTCGAATAGACAACTGTGTTAAGGGTGGAAACCAACCAACCGTGCTAGTCTCTCCAAGAGAAAGAATAATGGACAGAAGTCGACTATCGATAAACGTCTTGGCCGTCCAATTTTACGAGAGTATATGCATGATTTTGTAAACCGTAAACTTGAGTTTAAACTGATCAAATAATTCATGTTTGCAAGGCAATTACAGTAATTCCCCATCCGATGATAAAATAGAAAGTAACGAAACTTGCATGCAAAATTCAAGTGTAAATCCGGCCGACCAGCTCATCCGATGAACATGCTTCAAAGAGACAAATTTTTTGTTTGGCACCCTTCTCGAAAAATTGACAAAAGTTTAAAAGTCGGTGATCAAGTAGACATTTCCAATCTGATACCTCCTCTTTATTTTTCGGTTTTTGGTATTGGTAGGAGTTTTCTTTGTCGAATTTGGATGGATTAAACTCCAAGGTATGCGTTCCAAGTTGTTCATTAATTCGGATTCTTCAAATGGATTGCGAGCCAAATTGTTAAGATTTACCTTGTGATTATCGACTTGGCATTCAAAAAATTTTTGATCCAAGATCTTATTCACAAGTCAAATGATTACTATTTAAAGTATATCCTCGGAGTTCAGAGGTGGGAAATAAAGCAACCATAAATAAATACAAAGTGATTGGAAAGAACTTGAGCTATTTGCGTAATTGAGAAAGCCATTCAACCCAATCAACATACCACAATTCTTAATGTTATTAAAAGGTCGATGGAGATGACCATAATGAAACAATAAATGTGAGGCATTAGGGGGTTGAATTTAGGGTAGCTAGTTGTGTGTACATTGAAGAAATGGATGTTGCCAAGTTTTTGTTTAGATGAAATACGATTGTATTATATTCAAACGAAAGGTTGAAATAAAATTTCATGACTATCATGGACCGAGATTGTTACTAGCACCATGCATATACAATATACGGCTCGCGACTTATAATTCACGACTTCCGAATTTTTATCCGAAAATTACTCCAAAACGGCTTACTTAAACGCGAAACGCATGACACATATACTCCGTATACGCACTGCACTTTATTTTTTTTAGTACAAGTCTCGGCACCGATGTACACGCGTAAGATAACGTGATTGTATGATACAAAAAGTCCCTTTAGTAATTCTTTTATTTTTTTAGTTGGTCTCGCGAAAATTATTATCATTGATAAATAAATAAAATGAACCTTTTAATTATAGGAAATAAATGATTCAAAAGATAAAAAAAAACTTTTTTATAGAACATGCTTTTTTGGAGAGTAACAACTCTAGGATCCGAATACTTCCCGTCCGGATTTAATTATCCTTGCAAAAATCTTAATCGATACGTAATTGGTAAAATTAAATTTTTTCCGGGCTTTGTCTGATGGAGCCTTAATACTTTCCGGAGTTCGAGGTTCCACCATCGGAGAAATTAGTTATCAATTCCGGATACACTAATTATATTAGCGCATGCGGATGATTCGTTTTTTAAAATAACCTTTTTCTTAAATTTCAACTGTTAGATTTGTCTTAAAGATGTCAAAGGACACATTTGACGGAATTCCTTATGATAACTTTACCGATAAAGAGGTCATAGATAAACATGCTTCCGTAGAGGTGACTCGTGCTTACTGGAAAAGTGCCGAAAAAACTGTAGTATTAAAGACATTAATTGGAAACCCTTTTTTGGATAGCGGATCCTCCAAGAATTTCTTCGACGAGGTTTGTAGAAATATTGAATAGTCGATTTAGAATTAGGTTTCCGTTTTTAAACTCCTTTGTGTTAACAAATCGTAGTTAAAGTTAATTCGTTTGGTCAATGTTCACGATAACATTATTCAATTCTTCGGTGTAAGTCAAGGTAATTCGATTATCATTTTACAATTGGCATTCAACATCGCGCGTGCGTTAACCTTTCTCATCATTCGTTGTTTAGATATTGAGACCTCGAGGTACTTTACGGTCTTACAATATGCCGACGAAGGAAACTTGAGGGATTACTTGAAGAAAAACTTCAAGAAACTAGATTGGGAAAAAAAATACTTGATGGGAAAACAAATAACAGGTGGCCTCAAATTCATTCACGATAAAGATATGGCTCATAGAAACTTGGTAAAATACTATCCCTATTCTTTTTGTCGATTTTTTTTGGTTTTTTTTTTTTTAAATAACCTCGATTAAATCAGGTACCTGAATTCTATAGCACTCCAAAAACATATTGGTGTGTGGGGGAAAGATTAAGATCGCCGACTTCGGTTCATCCAACTCGTGCCTCTTCAACTTAACACCAGATGCACTTGAGATGTCTGCTTACATAGAACCACAATGCTTCAAAAATTTGGTTTACGTGAAGGATAAGGCTTCTGACATATATAGTTTGGGTGTTCTTCTGTGGGAGATATCAAGTGGTTGTCTTCCGTTTGAAGGAAAAAAGTTCTTGGATGTAATGCGCGAGATTTCCAGGGGACGTAGGGAACGTCCTTACCCAGGCACTCCTGAGGGATATCGACGCCTTTACGAACAGGCTTGGGATAATGACCCAGCCAGTCGCCCAACGATAGAACAGGTCCGATATAGTTTGGATAGAATGCTGGGCATTGACTCGTCACCGCCGTTACCACCACCGCCACGCATTCCTCCAATAGAGGATACCCCACCCGAAATTCCAAGTAAACAACCGATCCCTCGACAATATTCTCTCCAGCCTCCTGCAAAAAACGTTCTCTCTGAATGCAAACCCACAAATAATATTCGCGAACCTGATGGAAGTCCTACCTTGAACCCTCCGCCGAAACCAAAGAAACCTGAGAAACTCGACGCTCCAAAGATACCGCCGAAGCCACCTGGTGTTATTGCGGCAAGCGTTCCTATTCATCATCCTGGAATCACCAATCAAAATCAGAGATTCTCTTATCCCATAAACATTCACCATTCAAATGATAACGCAAACACTAGTCGTCGCAATACTTTCACCTCTTCCAATGTTAATAATAACGCAGGTGTTCCGCAAGGGCCCACTACACCCTTACAGTCGAATACTCAATCAAATTTTCAAAATCGAACTTCTTCAGACCCACACGTTGACGCTGACAGAAATATTGTGACACCCGGCCGGGGCATGAGCGGCGTATCACCGCAAATCCCTTTTCGCGAAAATAATGTGGGGACAAGTCAAGCATATGTGCATTCATCACCGAATACACCACCAACTTTCATTGTCAATGAACCGACATCCGCTAATCGAAATGCTGTGACCAATCGTGCAATGGCACCAAACATTCCACCAAATAAACCCAAAAGACCGATTATTCAACCACAGTTCGTCTCGACCCCTCTATTCAATGACCCTAATCAGTACGTTAATTCCCAGCAAAGACAAGATCAATCGACCCCCGTAAGGCAAATCGATCATACGAACCAGGAAAATTTCGCGAACCGTCAGTCGCCTTCATCCAGTCTGCAATTTCCTCAACATAACCAGGGAATTCCGAGTCCCCAACAAAAAGTTCAATATAACCAGCCTTCAGATATGACAGTTCCAGGTCTTCCATCCGGTCAACAATTTTCTGGGAATTTCAGCAACGTTGATCAGCGTAGCCCAGGGATTCCGAGTCCTCAACCACATACTCAATACCAACAATCTTCAAACATGGTAGATCCACGACTTTCAAGCATTCAACGAGAAGTTTCTGCTTCAATTCAAAACCCAAATCAGAATATTTTGACTATGGGTGCTGGCATTCAACAATCATTGGGTCCACAATTCAGTAGTCACCAAAACTTCGATCAAGGAATCACAGGAAGTTCTCGGCAGGAATTTTTTGTTTCGGCTCAAAACCAAAACCCGATCATTGGACCAAATTCGATGGCGAGTATTAACAATCAACCGCCCAATCCGACAAACCAAAACCCGAATATTGGACCAAATTCTATGGCGAATATTAACAATCAACCGCCTAACTCGACGGGTCCAAATTTTGCAAATTTCAATTCAAGTCCACAATTCGCCGTTAATAACGATCAAAATTTTAGTCCAGGGGTTCCGTATCCCCGGCATGAGTTTTCAATGCCAGTCCAGCATCAACATCAGTATGGGAACATTAGAGGTGCATATCCAGCGGCGAATTTTGGCAATCTAAATTTTCAACAGTACGATGGCAATAATTTTAACCCCAATGTCGATGCAACGAATTTTAACGACCGCCACTCGACCTCCAACTACACGGATGCGCTTTCTCCAGGCCAACCATTCCCAGGAATCGTTAACTACAATGATACCAATCAAAATTTCGACCCCGGAAATCCATCACAACTGATTCCACCCCCAAATCAATCATATCAAGATGCCCAAAATTCGAACATATATAATCAACAATATGCGCCAAGTTATGCTGTCTCGGGTCAGACTGGTCAGCCCGATAATCACTATACGGAAATCAATTCCAATTATGATTCGCAACAATCTTATGCGCAAATGCCCCACTACGGTTCGTATGTTTCTCAAAATCAAGGTTCTCCTGATGAACATCCGGGAGAAAAAAATTCCGTTAAGGAAGGTAAGGTTGATTCAATGCATTGTTAATCATTTAAATTTAGTTTATTTGACGACGTGTAACCTATCACGAAAAATCTAGCTACGAATTATTATCGGTCGTCTGAACGCGTAAGTATTTGAATATTTAAAAATTTCTTGAATCAATCATTCAGTTTTAAATTTCTTTCAAAGGACCCACAAATGGAGGCGCATTGTCAAGAGATAATAGAACGTTACAACAAAGAGTATGAGAATGATCATGGTTACGAAATTCCCGATGCGTGCAATGCAGGATATCACTGCGGCTTTGGTGACGAGAGAGGGCTAATCTACCACCTTAACATTTTCGGCAGAGCTAACAGTGCGTTTAAGTTTGGAGGAAACGAATCTCTTCCATTAGTGTTGATCGCCGCGAAAAATTGCAGTGGAAAAAAGATGATCACAATTTTTCAATGCCTCAAAGAAAGAAATGCTGATTTTAGTGTGACATCGAAGTCAGGGAAAACGGCATTCCATCTTCTGATTGATAACAAACAACTCCGCAAGAATATAGCCGAAAAGGAGACGGCCGCAAAATTTCAAGCCCATATTAAAAAGATAGTTGAATTCCTTGTGGATAATAAATGTGACATTAACGCGAAAGATAATAGTGATCGAACAATTTTATCGTATTGTTTAACTGAAAGATACAACCATAAAGAATTAATCCCCTTCATTTCATCCTTGTTGAAACATGGGGCGAATCCGAATCTCCCAGCATATGTAATGTCTACAAATGGCAAGTTCCACGCGCCTAACGCTTTGTTCTTGGCCGTAGAGTTTTGCTGGCCCGTCGAGGTATTAACATTATTATCTAGTTATAAAACCAACAAAGATGAGGTAAACAATGATGGCAAGAATCTATTATCTTTGGTTGGGAAGGGAGAAAAGAGGAAGAAACAAACAGATGTGTCGCGTTGGGTGTTGGATAATTGTAAGAGCAAATGAGGTGGCGAAATGTCAAAAAATAAACAAAAAATTATAAGAGCTCCAAAAAAAGATGCATACGTATTAGCCGATTTGTTCATTCGTTAATTAGGATTGAACTTGTAAATTTCTTTAGAAAAAAAAAAAAAAGAATAAAATTGCATTTGTATTAAAAGCACTCGATCATTTTACTTTTGTTTTCCTAATGTACGCAACACGCTCGCTTTTGCACAAAACGTCAAAAGACCATAAACGCAGCATTTTAACATAAAAGCAATCGAGTAAATGACAAATATTGCAACGATTCGTGAACTAAAGGAATCGGCAGTTTCCATATCCATCAAGCCAACTACTCTGTTCCTTACTTGAGATCAAAAATAAAATTTACAACATTAACGATTTATTTTTAAAATAATAATAATAATACATGGAATACATAATGACTACATCGCGTCGAATTTACGATTCTGACTAATTTTTTGCCGACTTCCTTTTCCCCTTGCACTCTGGCGCCCCCTAGAAGAACTTGCATCACCTCTCCTATTTCTCGGCTCTCCTCGATTTTCTCGGCCTCTCTGAGAACTTAATTCCTTGCGATTTCTTCCACCCATTTGTAAATCTGAAGTCGATTGTTGTTGTTTCTTTAAATCTTCAAGTTTATCGTCGATAAATTTATAAGAGGAGTAGGCATGGCAGACTAACAAGGACTCGGGAAAATGATCATCCACCAGTGTCTCGGGAATGAACGAAGGCCACAAGTTCAACGTCGCATCCGTAAAGTATACCGACAGTGGATATTCCTCCTTGATCGATTCGGTGGATAGAAATCTGAGAATAAATCTTTTCAACGCCGAGGCAAAAACATCAGCCGGAATCTTTGTTAGATTCTTTGAGTCTGTTTTACTGTAGTCTACAGCCTTTGTAATCTCGTCCCTCAAATCGTCAGTTAAATCTTCCTTGTATTTATCATCAATGTAATTCACCACTCCGTTCGCAACTTGCTCTTCCACCAACTCATACAAAGCCACAACATTTTCTAACATAAGCTCTGCTTTTAATAAATTTTTGAATAGATTGTTCTCCAACAGAGTCGTTAGTTTCATCCATTGATTAACATATTTGCTGATTAACACCTGTCCATTGCCAATTCCCGTCCTCTTCGCAAAGCAAAGTAAGATCTCCAAACATGAAAGCAACTCTGACGCATTATCAAACGACAAGGAATCCACACTATATTGACGACTTGAGAATGATGAATTTGAGGTCAGACACATAATATCCGAGACCTTGTCCTCCGAAATTGATCGCTGGGGGATTAAATTCTTGATCTCGCTTATGATCCTCATGTATCCTTTGAACAACTCCATATGGAAGTGGAATGGTTCGATAAACATTTGAGAGTCGCTCAGCGTGATTATGTGAGCTTTATCGGACAACAATTGAAAAGCGAGCAATTCCTCTATCTTTTGAAATTCGTAAAATATTTCGTGACCTCGTCCAACGTCAAAGTTTCTTTGACTATGTCGAAGAAGTTGGTCGTCCCACTTGTAGTCAATTAAATTTTCCGGTTTCGCATGAATTAATTGAATGGATTTAACGTAACGCTGCTGCGTGGGAGGTGCTATTTGAGTTGAAGATGACGTGGACGCATTGGCCTGGGTTTCGCTAATGAACCTGGTTTCGCCCATGAACTTCAGCGATGGAGTTTCCAATGGAAGAGCGACAACCTCCTGCAAGAAATCATTTTGCAGACCAATTAAATATTCTATAATAGCGCATACATAGACTCCTGAATCTTTAGGCTCGACGAGTGCAAAAACTATGGGAGAATCATAGCCTATCGTTGGTTTCTCTTCTGGAAGTTCGTGGCATTGATAATTCTTGACCTTTCCTATGACTTCATTCCACGACCGAGCAAAATCGTTGAACGCCAAATCCAGCACATTAGAGGTGCCATATTCATCATCTTCCGATTGGTTCGTGATGAAATCGCGGAAAGTTTGCCTTTCGGATTCTTCTCTGCTCAATCGATACTCAAGCCTTGAGGATATCATCGTCACAAATTTGACTATAGGATAAAGGTGTTTTATCAACTCCAGGTTTTCCGAGTGGTTGAAAAATACTGATAAGAAGGGGAAATTCTCGACGTTTTTTTCATCTCCAAAATATTGAGCGCGCAAGCTTTGTAAATTTGTCTCTCCGATAGCTCTCCACAAATCTTTTTGCGAAAAAAGAAAGGTCAATAATGAATTAAAGAAGTAATTGATGAAGCGATAAGCATCTTACTCGGCAAATATCTCCCTCTGTAATTCTTGTCCATGAGCATTGTTTGGTGGATTTCCCCTTCGATGGGATTATCGGATCCCTTTGAATTCTCCGAAGCATTATCAATCAAAAGTCTAAAGTTTATTGCAGTTTCCGCCACGCTTTTGACTTGTGGTGCGACATACTGTTTCGAAAAGATTTCCTCCCACTCTTGTCGCTCAGCCGGATTCTTGGACGTCAATGGCTTTGGCGGCTGTTCGGTTAATAAATTAAGTATAGAGTGCAGTAGTAACGCCAGATCCTCATCGGATATGTTGAGAATTTCTCTTAGAACGACCCAATCATTTTGAATATGGCCCATGCAATAGGTTTCAGTGTCAGTGGCGATTTCGTTGTTCTTTCGTAGAAATGAGAGCGCGTGAGGCTCGGGAGCCCAAGAGCCAATTATTGCATGTACAAATAAATGTAGAATTCTATAAGAAGTCGGACTCATTAATCTGACGCTTTCATTTTTCCCGTTGTTAATCGTTTCGCCGATGTAACCAGTCTGATCCTTGGATTTCACACCAATCTTAGGCCTTTCATCCAACTTTGTCTGACCAGGTTCGGCTACATGATTAGCACCACCGATTGTCCTACCACCTTCACATGCATACAGGATAAGATTCGTGGTTATCGAAAGCTATAGTTCCGCAAAATGCAGGAGAGATGACCATTATCACTTACAATCTGGGCATTTGCTTCGTCCATTGCTAAAGCCGCAATTTCCTATGACGTATAAGTAACCGCATACGCACTGATACCTGAATAAAAAATAAAGGCCAAAATTTAGATACATGGTGTTGAATGTATGATGTGAAATACTTCAATCGAGAAAAAACGGCACATTTACCGAGTGACCTTTTCTCCTGTTGGCGAATGTTGAATTCAAAAATGAGATTATTAAATCAAGTAAGACTCGAAAATGCTTGGATTCATTAACCAACTAACCGATGGCACTTAATATCAACGCTTCAATGTCCGAGGGGCAAGTCAAAATATAGGATCCCGTGCAATAATGCATATTTTGCAATAATTGCGCGAGAGGTGAGGATTCTGCTGGGATCGATGCGTGCAGTGCAATCACATGGCCAATTACAGATTTAATGAGTAAATCTCGGGTGCTGATATCTGCACCTATCCTCATAAACCTGTGCTCGTTTTTGACAATTTTTTCGACGGTCCTCTTGTAGACCGGCGAGAGTTGGCTTACACCGTTGACTTTTTCCAATAAATATTCGGCTGCCTGGGTTTCTGCCTGTGACCATTCTCGCGAAGCACGAAGCGCATGAAGACGACTAAATATCATCCCGATCAGTGCGATATGGTAAGTTTTCCCACCTTTCTTGAAATTATTGAAGAAGTCAGAATTAAAAGGTAGCCTGTTATTGATATTTAAAAGCGGCAAGTAGGATTTTTCTAGAATCGAATATGCATCACCAAGGGGTCGATATGGATCAAATGGAAGCTTTGACTCCTGATCATCATTCCATGATATGTGAGAAATCCAGGGTAATGTGTGCTCTTGATTCTGACAGAACTGTCTGACATCATCCATGGAAAACTCGCGCATTCGTAAATCCCGTAGGAAGTAAATTTTGAGTGAATGGATAAGCGGATATTCATATGCAGCGACCATACATCCATTGATTTCAGTAATTAGCGTGAAAAGGTCATGGTGATTATTGTTCACTGAATTGATATCGATAGGTTCATTGACTATGTTGTTTGGGTTTATGTAATTCCAGAATTGGTGAACGAATTCCTTCAAGAATGCTATGGAAGTGAGCCGCAATAATGCATCAAGATTTCTGGTTATTTTATCAATGGCATGACCAAAATAATTCCACAATGTCGTCAGGTCCTTGGCGAAAAAAGTCTTTTGAATCACATCGCAGCATAGTGAGGCCATCTTCGAGTTGAGCCCTTGCTCCTTCAAGCATTTATCTATGATACTTAATCTTGGTGATCGTTGTAATACACTTGTGTCTTCAAGAAGACGGAAAAAAATATCTCGGTTCTCCGCATCCTCAAGCTCGAATATTCGGAGCACAGTGATGCTCGCGAATGGAAAGGGTTCATCCAAAAACAGGCGTTCATAAATTTGCTGACGAATGACAGACTCGATGGGAGTTATGTCGAGACATTGGTTAATGAACAATCGCCTTTGATAATGATCATCTTGTAGAAAATTCAGCACCACATCGATGAAATCAATCGTTATACCCCCATCACTGCCGAGTTTGATAATCTCTTTAATCATTCTTTGTGAAATCGACCTCGTGGATATGAGACCGGAGGATATCCGTAATAGATTAAGGGATGGCACGGTCGATGACCTGGGAACTCTTTCGCAAAGAGATAGAACCTTGGTTGCTTTATCCTGCCACTCAAAGTATCGGTCATCCTGACTTTCACAAAATTCATCGATCAACTCTTGACAAGCCTCCGTAACTAAGTAGTCAGCCAGGTCCATTCCTCGCAGATCATCATCCCTCGATTCGACATTCTTAATTGATGAACACATTTTCGCCAATTGAAATTCCGTCAGAACGGTGCCGGCATTGTTCCACCAATAAATGTGAAGCAGGCAAGGATTCAAGGTCTTGTCGGGACCGAGAGATTTTCTTAAAATGTACGACAGAATGGATGTATATTGTCTGCCGCCTTCGATTGGGCAATTCACGGTCACAAAATCATCGAAATATAGTCTTCTGTTAAGTTCAATTGGAGAGGATTTGAAATTCTGCATAGAAACCGATAAATTCTCTGAAAATGACTTTTCATAATCTTCAAGGACGAATTCGTAGAGTCTCCCGCTATCACGATCGACATGATCGGAATCCTCGCGAAGCTTGGCCACTTCTTCATCGTAGACTCGTTTGAAACCATCAATCTGCCTAATGAAATAGTACGAAAATGGAAAATTGAGCTTGTAAACTCCCGATGTCAACAAATAACCATCGGGTTTCGGTTCAGGAAGATCCTCGATCGAAACAACACTTTTATTCATAAACATTTGTCTCCAAAATCTAAGAAGTTGCTCGTTTTGCTCGATCTCCATCCGATGAGGCTCATCGAGGGTAAGGAAGGTGGTCAAGGCTGATAATCTCTCGAGAGCACATAGCAACTTTGCGATTGGTTGACGGACCAAGGTTCTTATGTGGGCGGATAATGCGACTGCAAATGAAGAGTATGGGTAAAGACTTTTTTTGTTTGAGGCGACATTGTACTGCCAGTCGGTGAGAGTGACAGTATCCTTCAGCCAATCGACGGTTCGTTCTTTCAGCAGATTAACGAAATTATGACTTTGACGAATTTTGACATTAAGATTCCTAGAAAAAATTTCGATTCAAGCATAATTTCAAAGAGAAAAAAAAAAAAAAAAAAGGCTCAACAAATTAAATCAATTAAATTAATAAGCTCGGATTAACTAAATTGCAAACTGAGTCACACCTGACGTGTTCCAACGACTTGGCCGTTGACGGATACTTTATGCACGACAAACACCACAACAATTCTTGATCCAAAATCTCTTCGAAGGGGTATATCGTTTCGATGATCTCACCCAAATCACCGTACAAAAGTGATGACAGAGGTCTTTCTTGTTTGGTTAAAATTTCGATGGTGACCTGATCCCATCCGCACATGAAATTAAATCCCTTGAACGACGCGTTAAGATCACGATGCATGTGAAGAACAATGCACGCATGTTTTACGATTGGATCGTCATCGTTTTGCTGATAGTACTCATGGCGTAATTGTTCAATTATGAATTTTGCCAATTTGATGCATCCGGCATTTGCGGTGGTGATGTCACATTGTAAGACTAGTAAATTCTTTGCGGGTGAACGGAACCAAAATCGCCTGACTTCAGATTGGAAGTCAGCCTCGGTCTTAAATGTTGAAAGTTTAATGACCATACATTTGGCGATCTCTTCTAAACATTTCTTAATATCGGTGTTGATGTTGGAAAAGGTGTTTATGATGATTTGGTGGCCTCTTCCGTTTGAACCAAATTCGGATTTCTGAAGTAAGTCGCTAAAGTATTCAAAGAGGTTGTCATGCTTCTGACTACGGAAGTAAACGTCTTTCCACCTCTCAACTTCCTCAACTGGCATGGATGATTTTTCCGCTCGGATGATTCCATCCGATGTAGCGATCCAAATCAAGATCTCTTTGCATCTCTCTAAAACTTCATCGTCATCCAAGTCGGGATAACTTTTCTTCCCATAAATCACCAAACTTTGGATTGTCTCCTCCTGATCAAAGCCTACGAACAAGTCATCGTGAGTGAACTTTTTGTGAGAAGGAATGAAATTTCCCATTTCCGGATAGGTTGACATTTGCTTAACCCAATCAACTAATTGGTCGACCAGTTCCCTTTCAATGGGTCTAAGGACGTCGGCCATCGTCATTCTTTGTTTTTCAAAGCGATTCAATAGCGGCGGATCTGCGTTCGGCAATTTATCTTCATCCATCACGAGAATGCACCTGAAGTTCCTTGCAACAGATCTTGACATTCCGATAAAAATGATGTAATCAAGATGGGTTAGATCTGTTGCGTAGCGTGATAAATTGAAGACCTCGAAACTTACAACATAGGATTGGCATAAGCTCCGAGTGCAACACGAGTATAATATTTTGGATCCTCTTTGCTACCGGCAACGATATAATTCTGATTCCATAAATCGTAAAGACTCCCTGCGTGTATTATGAACATTAAATTCGTTAATTTCACACCCACCCGAGGATCTTTGAAAGTTCACCGAAAACAAGTGAAGTACCGTAAATAATCTCCAGGTCAGTTAAAATTAAAGGTCTCCCGGCTTCCACACACATCTAAAGTAAAATCAAAACTGTTGAATGAAATCGCGGCATTTAATATTTTCGGGAGAACTGCAAAAACATTTTTTTTCTTTTTACCATAATTCGGCTCAGTATGGTGTATGAGTAATCGTCGCGGTCATTAGGAAATTGAGAGCCAAATATGATCACCGGATCCAGACCCTTTTCTCGGAGTTGATAGGTCAACAGATTGACAATGGATTCGCTCTTTCCAATTACCATGAGATGCCTTGCACTTGAGTCTTCGAGATTCGCGTTGATTAGGTAATCAATGGGTACGGCATTATAGGCCCAACTTTGATTCCTATTGAATAGGGCGATCACTTCGCCAAAATATTCCTCGCACAATTCTTGCTGCTTCCCAGTTCCACCGAAGTTTCTTGCCAGCGCCACCTGAATATGCTCAGGCGTCAAATCAACCAACGACAAACTTTTCACCAGCGCATAATAGTCACGAAGGCCATGGAAATTAGGCAACTCCTGACCCTCCCGTTCATACTCCGAGTAGGCCTTCGCGAGAGGTGCAAGGGATGATCTCGGAATTTGTTCGGTGCCTTTGTCCAATAAACGAACCGCGATGTCTATAAGATCTTCCTGCCCTAATTTGGGTCTAAGGGTTTTTAAAAAGTTATGAGAATGGTAGAAACCGGTTGAATGACAGGAATTGATAAATAAATGCGACTATTCGCACGAACCTTTGGACCAACAACGCCCTACTGCTCTTACTATTATCCAACCTCCAGTTACTTATTCCCACCACGGAAACGGTTGGCCCTTCTGCCGGATAACTCGGCTCAAGCAACGAATGAAGCACCTTTAACGGATTGAATGGACTGGTTTCCGCCAGACCGACTGCAATAAATGTTTATTTGAATTTTAGGTTGACCAACATTACAACGAAAATATCCTACCTTCGTCAAGCAAGACCACACTGATGACAGGAAACTCTTCCGAACTGGTCTTTTGATAGTTATACGCCTTGTCGAAGACCTTGAGAATACCATCGGAGGTCGAAGAAGAAGACCCTTGATGAGGAATCAAGTACACCTGCAGATGAAGAATGAATTTTTAGGCCGAGCCTACAAAAGGGAACCAGGAAAAAGATCAACTAAAGCCAATGAATACCTGTGGAAATGTCTTGAAATATTTGTCGTTTGAATCGGAACCCCGTAAATTTTGACTTACAAGTCGAATCGCCAATGATTTCGAAGAACTATAGATGATGACAAAATTCACACGATTAGTGACAGGGTAACAAGCCGCGTCACCCAAATGAATAACGTAGCATAGGTTATGCTTGCCCGGGTGCTCCGATGATAAATAATGGAATTTTTGTCAGGATGCACACGGTCATGACCAAGACGTTTTCCAAGAGTGCATCATTTTTTGCAGTGTTTGGTGGCAGTTGCATCCGATCTATGTAATTTTCCTGCTCGAGACGGATCACTTTATTGAATTGTTCCGCTGAGATATTCATCCCTGCCTGCTGGAAAACTTCGCACATCTCTTCACGATATTTCGAGCGCAAATCTTGCAGATATAACCTAGACTGATAGCCAAGCCCTAACGCCAATATACATGATCGAATAAAAATTGGTGGTTTAGATGGAGGATATTTCGGAGATTTCTTGCTAATAGGTGGCCTATTTTGAAGGCTCTTGTGGAAAAATTTAATGAGAGTGATGATCCTCTTGACGTCACGCAAACTAACGCTGTATTGTTCTTCGACCTTGCGAATGAATTTCTGTGACCTGGATAATAATTCGGCAACCACCCTATGATACAACCCATCTTCTTTGAGTTGAGCCTCCACCATTATTTCAATGTATTTTTTCTCATCATCTTCATGTAGAATTCCGTAATCCCACACATAGTCCAATATTTGATCCGGAAGAGGCTTCACTTCGTAAACAAGATTGCTTCGGTGGAATTCGTACTCCGTCAGTTGCAGATTTGCGTCAGTGTCTTTCTTAGTTCTTTGTAAACCTGCGTCACTGACACTCTTGGTTCTTATACGATAGGGATTGCAGGCAGCAAACACTCTGACGTGTGGACTCAGTGGTTTTCCGAGGTAGACTCGGTGAGCGATAAGGTCTGCGAGGAGGCCGATGTGGTTGCAGGTGTTAATTTCATCAAAGAATAACCAAATATCACGTTCATCAGCGTGAACCAGCGAGTCGGACATAAATCGGAAAATTATTTCTTCGGTGATTCCAGCATGAAGGTTAAGGGCATGGAATTCGACTTCCATAACGGTCGCCAGGAAACTGATTAAGCTCGTCTATCGTAACATGGAGGCAAAAGGAATGAGTACGCGTCATTTCAAAATCAAAAAGGACTTTATTGACTTAAACGCAAAAATCACCTTTCCACATCCCGCTTCACCGCAAACCACAACAGGCACGTTGGCGCGCGTTCTCAACAATATGAGCGCCATTTTCAACAGATTGTCGGCCGACAACGCGTAAGGTGGATAGTCGATGGAATGTGTGGTTTGACGCGCGAGATTCTCCAACCTTGATAACAGCGCGTCCGTTGACATTTCTCGATAATCATCCAACCTCCACTGCCTCGCATCTTCAACTCGACTGGTGACATGTTGACTCTCCAGCAACCTTTTGACATTTTCTGGGACTTTAGTTTGATCCCGATAAAGTGCGCATATGGAATCCGGAACCTGCGATAAGAAAAATACTAATAAATGATTCGAGTCGTCCCACCGGACAATATTTTCCAACTGATCATCATCATCATCGTTGTCGTCGTTGTCGTCGTTGTTATTTGCCTCTTCAGAAATTGCTTGTTTTTGCGAAGACTTTGCGCGAGTAGATCTCGTCGCAAAATCCTTGGACACATCCATCAATGTCTTAAACAGGGTCGTACGAATGTCGTTCTCTCCGACCATCAATTTTAGATTTTCAACTTGGAAAAATGAACTGGACGATAATCTCTGTTATGCGAATGAATGGTTAGAAGCATGTTAAAAAGAAATCATTCATTGTCTTATTCTAATTCAATCTCATGGTAATAGCAAAATCCTCTTATCATACCACTAGTTGATCCGCAAATACATTAATAAATATTTCAAGGAACCGAAACGATGCAAGATCGGGTGTAACAACGTCGAAGAAATATTTGGACAAGAGCTGTTGACAACGTTTCAATGGCAGCGGTCTCCGAGACCCCGTATGGAAAAGAACCTCGGCTCCATCTAGAGTCTCTTTCTCGAATTGATTCAAATAATGACAAACTACCTGGATTTGACTATTGATCTCGTGCGAGGTGATTAACTTGTTAATCTTCACGGATAGCCTGACCGTGTCCAAGCATGAAAGGAACTTGATGGACTTCATTAATCTTTGATCCGCACTTGAGGCCACCTCTACGAAGATGGGTATTTGAGGGAGGGTCGCAATAACCCCTTGATAGGAGACAAAACCAAAGGTTAACACTTGAAACAGAAACATATTGATCTCCCCAGGATTATCAGCAGAAATTAGATTAATGTGAAACGAATCGACTTCTTGTCTCAGTTTGAATTTACTGAGTCTGCGAACCAATCTCCCGAAATCGTCACCATCACTTATTAGGAAACTTTGAGGGATCTTGTGTCTTCGGAAGCTCTCTTGCCTAATCCACTCTGTTTTCCCTTGACCCGACAATTCCGATGTCACGCATATCACATCGGGGCAGATTATCCTGTAAATATTTTTCATCGTTTCGACGCTTAGGCCATTGGTATGTTGAAAATCTGAAAATTGGTCCAAAATGTGATGATGCATCCCTTCCTCTGGGCAGCAAATCAGCGCCAAATGGTATTCACCCGGTTTAACCATATATGACCGTATTTTCTTGACCAACTCGTATTGCAACTTGTACTCCAACTCCTCGAGATTTGCCATGCAAAATAAACGATCCTGATAACCATTCTTTGCGGCCAAGAAGCATCTTTTAATGAAGATTGATATTTCCTCTGAGGTCGTCGCGGAATTGCAAAATAATAATTGCCAGGGGTTAGGACATACACCTTGATTCAGTTGTAATGACATGATGACATTTGGAATTAGAAACTTGTCATTGCATGCTGCAACAAATAACTTTCCGCTATTGACAATATCGGAGACAACGCGTTCGCCATTAACATCCAGTGGATCGGGTTCCTTTGGGAGCTTGCTGAGAATAAGTTTCAACTTATCTCCGATATCACATAGAAGTTTAAAATATTTATTCTTTGAAATAATTTTTCGGTTAGATTGCAAATGGGCACTGGGGTTAACATATTTAACGAGCTTCTGGCAGAGATTTTCTTTTCCCGGAGTACTCGAAGAAGTACTGAAATAATCGTAGAACAGAAGAATATGACGTGCCGGGAAGAAGGTCAAATAGTAAAATTGATTTTGTGCCGAGTCGACCGCGCTTCCCCTAAATAAATATTTTTGTCAATGGTAAATTAACTTTTCACCAAAAAGGGAACATGTATATACTGTATATGCGTGTGTGATATCTAATATAGAAGAGTATCTACTAACCAAGCGGTCAATTCGTCTTTTAATTTAGTCAGATGTTGCTTCATTGATTCTGTGCCCCTAAGAGGCGTGTTTGACTCGCGATACGAGAAATGACCCTTCTCAATTAACTATTTATTACAACAAACATCCATTCTCATTGTTAGCAGATGTTGAATTTCCAGTAGTAAAAGAAATAACTGTGCTCACCTCTGAAGACAACTTCACAATCTCCAGGACCGTATCAACCTGACTGACAAACTCCCCCACTATACGCTCAAACGATTCCCGTTCGTCGTCTTCGGTGGGACCGATGTCGACGATGGGCTTTGCTATCAATAAGGCGCGACCGCGTAAATCCTGCAATTCCGAAAGGTTGATGGTCATGGTACCGTCCTTTGACGGATATGTCAGAGTCGCGGAACATTCGTGGTCGTCCGATGACCACCGAAAAGTGTAAGTCCCGATCATAACGGAATTTTTGATTTTTTCCTTGGCAACCTCTCCACGATTTGAAATGTTGTTATACATGTTTTGCAGAGCCATGTTGTTGCTATTACACAGAGTAATCTTGCTTGACAATTGAGTGTTACTCTTTGCCACATGATTAAACTGTCTCAAAAAGCCATCCAACGTATAATCATCAGCAATGTTGATCAGAGGAACGAGAATTTGTTTAACTTGGATTAGCGATGACACAGTATCTTCTTGGACGAGTCGTCCTTCCGAGTCATCGACTCCATTTATCAAATTCTTTAAATCCTCGTCGGCAATCTTCCGCAGAAAGTCAATGAAGTCCGAAGAAACGGAGATCTCTTTGATCAAACCCCAACAGGCATCGTTATTAACATCCGAGAGACGTTTTTCTAAAGTGTCAAAAAAATCTCTTAGCCTCCCCAA